CAGTCTGCCTGTTTTGTTCTCTACATACACTGAAATCATGTTCGATTGCACTTTATGATGCTGAAACATGCTTTGTCTTTTGTGACAACATGTCTAATAAAAGTTTGAACTGATGTTCACTCAAACAAGATTTTGCTGTAGTTTTTTTAGTGTGTGTGTACTAGTATAGTTGATGATCTTCTGGGTTTGCTAACAAGAGACAGTTAAAATTAGATATTTCTACAGAGGTTACCTCAATGAATTACAGTGATTTCTTTTCCACCACCCCCCCATACTACACCAAATTATGTGACCGCCACATAGATTACCTGATTAGAAATGTCAGCCATATTGCAACTGCATTTTTAAAATATAATTCTTGATCACATACTCTATTTTTTTTAGAGACTTTATGTACAGTTTATTTGGAGCGGCTGCAAAACAGTGTAGCCTCAGATGACGTCACACCCACCTGACAAACCCGGAAGTAGGGTTGCTCCCTCCACTAGCGCACTAAAGCTAACGTTACCACATATCGTATGCCACTGGAAGACATGGGGGCTGTGTCTCTCACCCATTACTGACAGCTGAGAGTCAGTGGATAACAAGAAAATAAAAGGGAGAGCCGTCTTTATATCAAGGTATGTATCTGGAGGATGTCGGAATGACACGTTGTCTGTAGCGGTAATGACTAACGTCACTGTCTACTTGCGCATTGTTGCTTTGTGCGCACAGGCTAAACAACGCGATGAAGTGAGCTAACATCAAGCTATTTCTCGATCAAACGTGACAGTCACGCCAAGCAACGAATACAATATTTGAATGCTTCAACCCAGCGTTGAAAAGATTGTTTTAGCTCCTCGCTACTAGCCTGTCAAAAACCACAACAATGTTAGTCATGGTATAAACTGTCGACGGCTATCTAACGTTAGCTAGCTAACGACTGGGCTAATCTTTGGCAAATGCACCGTCCTACCTGTTGCAGGTAAACGCTTTAAACAGCCTCGTGCTAGGGGTCATATTTAATGAAATATATCTTAATTAGTAGGCCGTGCTCTAGCCTTAGATTTGCGTTTGGTATTGATTCCTTTGGTATGCATTTTTGACTCTACGATGTCTATCCATCACAAAGTAAATAATGAGCAATGACACAGTTATAGTACCGCAATAGTGTGATTCTCTTGCAGTTGAGTAACAGAATTGGCAAGGGCTTTCAAATTCTGATTTAAAATTGAGTGTGCTTTGATCCATTTAATACTCGTGCTTAATATGTTTTTTATACCGGAATCTGTAAGGATTTAACTTTGCACGTTGTAACATCTCAATTCACATCAAAGTGCTAGAAGCCCACTTAAGACTGATAAAACCCTGAAGAAGCTGTTCACATAAACAGAACTTGGCAGCCATGTTTTTTCTCTCTGACTTCCTGTTGCTTTCAAGTCACTGTGAAGTATTTTGAAAGAGAGCCTTAATGTGGTGTGTCTGAGTTTGCTGTGAGTCATGTTTTATTTTGGGGGACAGCTCCGGCTGTTCTGGTGCTTATTCTACTCAGCCAGCACAGGCAGGACACCGGTGTGCACATCCATTTGCACATTGTCAAGCAGGTGCATTAGAGTGCACGTCAAAAAGGATTATTGAAAGGCTTTTTGCTACAGCTGCCTCTTTCAGTGATTGTAAAGTACCATTGTTTTTGACATTTTGACTGTCTGGTTAAAAACCGTATTTTCTTCGTGAGCCGCTCACCTGTCCTGGGTGGTCTGTGATCCACCCCTCTCTCACTTCAGCTGCCAGGTCAGGCGCGAACATGGAGTCTATGCTGAACAAGCTAAAAAGCACCGTCACCAAAGTGACGGCGGATGTCACCAGCGCCGTCATGGGCAACCCGGTGACGCGGGAGTTTGAGGTTGGACGACATATCGCCAGCGGGGGTCCCGGCTTGTGCTGGAGGATCTACAATGGCACCAAGAAGTCAACTAAACAGGTTTGTTGTTCTGACCAGACCTTTCCACACCAGGAGGATCATTGGTACTCGATGAAGCTAATGTCTTGTGCCTTGTTGTTTGTCTTTGACCCTCCAGGAAGTAGCAGTGTTTGTGTTCGATAAGAAGACGATTGACAAGTATCAGAAATTTGAGAAGGACCAAATCGTTGATTCGCTGAAAAAAGGGGTGCAACAGCTGACCAGACTGCGTCACCCCCGTCTCCTGACGGTGCAGCACCCTCTTGAAGAGTCGCGGTGATTAAAACAAATTAAATTCAAAATACTTCTCTGGCTCTGTTTTTTGTCTTTGCTCATGTTGCTATTTCTCTCTTGTCTGTTCAAGAATAATTCCGCATTTAAAAAGCAGTTGTTTGAAATGACACTGATGCTGTCTCTGTGTTTGGCCCTTAGAGACTGCTTGGCGTTCTGCACAGAGCCGGTCTTTGCCAGTCTGGCCAATGTTCTGGGCCAGTGGGACAACCTGCCCAGCCCCATGCCCAACGACATCAAGGAGTACAAACTCTATGATGTGGAGACCAAGTATGGCTTGTTACAGGTAAGAGTGCAGCTCGCTCGATGTAGGGCTGCAACTAAGGGTTATTCTTTATCGATTTATTTTCAGACAAAAATGTTTAAAATGACATACAATCTTTTGTTATGTAAATCATGTTTACACACCGGCTCCGAAACTTACATCTCTTATCAGAAGTTTTCAGAACAGGGTCGATTTTTTTGCATCCGTCAGTTGTCTGACCACTCAGAGCCACCGTAAATGCAAATGTCATCACCCAAAATGCCGTCTGCTGATTCAGTTTGTTCTTTTTCATATTAAATAACCTTTGGACTGAAGTGTAAATGTTGTTTCTGAAAGCCTCAATGCCAACAAATATGGATAGAAGCTGAATATTTCATCAGATAAAATCATGTCATGAATTTTGGAAATGGGGTCTTTTTTCAATTTACTTTTACTTTGAAACATTTCCAATAACTCCAGAGTCAAAATGTCAATCGCACAAATTACAAACAATCCTACTCAGCCACCACAAGAGTCTTAATCCTGTTGTTATTACAGAAGCATTTTCACCCTTTCATACCAAAACCGACATTTTCTTCTTTTTTCTTCTTCTATCCCTTCAGATCTCGGAGGGGTTGTCCTTTCTCCACAGTGGGGTGAAAATGGTCCACGGCAACTTGTCTCCAGAAAACATCATCCTCAACAAGAGCGGAGCCTGGAAGATCATGGGCTTCGACTTCAGCATCTCCACCACCGACCCCTCAGATGTTGAGGTGTGTTGGCAGACCTTTTTGCGACTTTAGTACAGTCCGTCTTATTCAATGTATGCTCTACCAAAAATAAAGCCTTGCAGTATTGCCACATCTTTATATTCTCCCGCTGTCTCATCCTCTTCAGCCCAAGTACACGTGTAAAGAGTGGGAGCCCAACCTCCCTCCACTCTGCCTCCCCAACCCCGAGTACCTGGCCCCCGAGTACATCCTGTCCGTCAGCTGTGACTCCGCCTCCGACATGTACTCGCTGGGCGTGGTCATGCACGCCGTCTTCAATGAGGGCAAGCCTGTTTTCCAAGTCAACAAGCATGACATATTTAAGAGCTTCAGCAGGCAGCTGGACCAGGTGGGTGGAGGTGTGCCACACTTTAGAGAGCGTGAATGAATGGAGAGACAAAGGGTCATAAAGCTCTCAGAGAATTCTAGCAATTGTACGACAATACAGGGCCCTGCAATTATTTTCTTTCCATGCGTGCTTTATCAAACACTGGTTTTATTCTCCTCTTCTCTGTCCTGCGCCGTGCTTCCCGTGTCTTTCCATTGTAGCTGAGCAGCATAAGCCCAGCAGTGTTGAACAAGATCCCAGAGGAGGTTCGGGAGCACGTCAAAATGCTGCTCAGCATTACACCCAACGTCCGACCGGATGCAGACCAGATAACGAAGGTTTGCATGGTCACGATGCGCATGAAGACACAAGCAATGGCTCATTTTCATTGTCTTTAAAGGACAACATTTCTTTCTTTTGTGTAAAAATCAGATTCCATTCTTTGACGACGTGGGTGCTGTGACCCTGCAGTACTTTGACTCCCTCTTCCAGAGGGACAACCTACAGAAGTCCCAGTTCTACAAAAGCCTCCCCAAAGTCCTGCCCAAACTACCAAAGGTAACTGCTCGTTCATCTTGTATAGGAAACTCCCATATCTATCAGAACACAAGCTCTCACATGCTCTCTGTTTAGTTGTGTCGTATAAACTCTCACACTCAAACACAAGGTCTGGGTCTGTTTCTTAGAAATATATTTTCTTCAACTAGTTCCTGTTATTTTTGTTCCCTTTTCTCTGTACTTCTTTTCCCCGAATTAACTCACTGTGAACCTACGGTTAGTCCCGTGTGAGTGCTCTTTCGTGGCTCCTGACATTCTGTTATTTTCCTTCTCTCAGAGAGTGGTGGTGTATCGTATCCTGCCGGCACTGACCTCCGAGTTTGTCAACCCGGACATGGTGCCCTTCGTGCTGCCCAACGTGCTGCTGATCGCCGAGGAGTGCACCAAGGAGGAGTACGTTCATCTCATCATGCCCGACCTCACGCCCGTTTTCAAGCAGCAGGAGCCCGTTCAGGTAGACGCGCATACAGTGTTGTCATGCATGTGACTGCAACACAACTGCTCAACATTACTATTGTAGTCTAGGCATG